ATCTGTTAAGAGACTTGAGCTGAAGCATCCTAGAAAGAAAATGTCTAAGACGAGCTTTTGGGCCCACCCTGGCCCAAGTAGGTGCCAAGGAATCTGCACTTAAAGTAGTATCTGCTTAGTGGGAGTGCGTGGGGCAACAGAATTGAATCGTGGGTAAGCCTGGTTTGCAGGCGGGGAAGTTAGTCATACAAAACTGGAAGTCCTCTTTTCCTAGCTTTTAGTGTTGTGCCTTGCTTTGGAGTGACCGGCTTCAAGATTTCTAGAGACTGGGTGGGGTGGGTGGGAGCAGGATTGCAAAAATGATGGGACACTTGGTGCTTCCTACCCAGCGCCGCCTTTAACTGGCTGCCCCGATGGACCATGATCCGCCCTGTGTTAGGGATGGAGAAACTGAGGCCCAGGGTCCTCAGGCCATCCGTCCCAGGTCCGAGTGCAGGGCCCGTTGTCCTTCACAAGGTCACGGAGGTCCCACCCTAAGGCCCTAAAGCCACTGCCCATTCAGGCGTCCGGCGGGGCAGCCCGGCGCGCGCGTGACGTCACTACACCACACCCGGGGAAGGCCCCCTCTTGGAGTGCGGCTGCGAGTGGCGTGTGGGAGGTTGGACATGGCGCGGGCGCTGCAGTCGCTGTTTCGTTGGGGCCACTACCTCCGGGCTCCTCTGCGGGTGTCAGCTTTGGTGGCCGGCCCAAGAGGTGAGGGGGCGGCGCCGGATTGTGGGCTGTGACGGGCAGCATCTCCTCGCGTTCCGTGGGGAGATCTGTGGCCGGACCTCGATGAACGGGACGAGATAACCAATAAGGGGATTTGTGCAAAAAGCAGATGCAAAAAGGCAGAGGTAGTCGCTTGGGCTTAGCGCGCTGCATGCGCTGATATACTCTGCTGGCTGCAGCCTTGCACTGGCTCTCGTGTCCCTCCTCGGAGGTGCTTCCCAGCTGCATAGCTTTTTTCTACCCTTGCCCCTCTGCTTAGAGAAGGCTTCCAGAGGAACTGCGGGCTTGAGCCTTCAGAGCAGGTCGTGTGGACAGAGCCGCGGTCCACGTGCGAGCACAGAGTGAACGCTTAGGGAGTGCTGAGTATGCTTTCACAAATGGTTTGCCGGTTGTCCTGGTTTAAACAAACCCGAAACCAACACTGTCAGTTGATTTTGACTCCCAGTTACCCCGCAGAGCAGAGTGGGGCCAACTTTTCATCTTCCACTGATGCAGTCGAACTGCTGACCTTTCCGTTAGTAACCCAGCTTTAATCCACTGCCACATCAGAGTCTCTTTTATTTCTTTATTTTACAATTTTTTTTTTTTTATGTGTGCACCATGAAATCGTATCTCACTGGTACAGGAGGGGATTACCCCTCCTTTTCCAGCAGAGCATCTCATGGATTCGAACCACTTACTTCTGGGATTACAGTGCAGCTTTTTGCCACTACGCCACCAGAGCTCCCTCATCAGTTTCTTGGGTAGCGTGTTGTGGTTATGCACCCCCAAGTACGCACTGACGCATACATAGCTGGCCCTCCAGTGGGTTTTCAGAGGCAGAAAATCACTTGGGAGGAGATAGTCCATCTTTTCCCCGTGGAGCATCTGGTGGATTCGAACTGCATACCTTTTGGCACAGCGAGTGCCTTTGGGATTTAGAGACTGAACATTGAACCTCCTGGGGCTGCTGGACGCTGGGTAATTGACCTCTCATACTCAGGACTTAGAATTGGTAGATGTGAGAGGAGGAGAGGGGAGAATGGACCCTGCTTTCCCACCACCAAGCAACTTTTGTAGTTTGAACATGAAGAACATGTAACGAAGATGCATTAATATTAGTTGGTGCCTGGAATGCAAAGTTTGGGAACAAAGGAGGAGGACTGGCCCTTGAAAACGACGAAATGAGATGAAGCTCAAATTATAGGATTTTGTACAATGAATGACTTATTAATTGCAAATATCTTTTTAAAAGTTCAAAACCATAAGCAACATACATCTATACACGTGTAACTCATCTATCCCTAGAATGGTTTTAATGTATTGAACACTAATGTTCAAAACCAGATGATTAGTGGGATGACATCAAGGATATCATCCATGAAAAAGTAAAAGGTCAGGGAGTTCAGGTGGCCTAGTGGCAAGAAGCTGCATTGCAATCCCAGAGGTACACGCTTTGAATCCACCAAATGCTCTGCTGGAGAAAGAGGGACAATCTCCTCCTGTACCAGTCAGATCCGATCTGATGGTACACACACATAAAATAATAAAAATAGTAATAAAGATTTTTTTTTAAAGTAAAAGGTCATTACAGAGGCAGAGGAGAAAGAAATGACCAAAATAGATATCAGAAGAGACTCTGGAAGTTATACTGTAATTAAAAGGAAGAAATGCTAATGTAAAAGAGGTGAACAGACAGTGTCACAGGGCAGCTTGAGAAGACAATGCAAAATATTTGTAATGAAATATACAAAACCCTAGAATTAGAAAACCAAAATAGACGAACACATTCAACATTTCTCAAGCTAAAAGAAGGGGGAAAAATAAATTTGGCCTTCAAATTGTAATACTGGAGGATTCAAAAACCTTGAAAGCATCAAATGAAGATGAAAGGAATACACAGAATGTACCAAAAAGAATTGATTGAGGGAGTAGCACATAATCAAGAAGGAAAGGAGGGAGCTCTGGTGGCCTAGTGGCAAAAAACTTCACTGCAACCCTGAGGGCATGCAGTTCGAATCCACCAGATCCTCCACTGGAGAAGGAAAGACAATCTCCTCCTATTCCAGTTGGATCCGATTTGATGGTACACAACAAGAAAAAGAAAGGGGGGGAAAAGGCAGTGGAAGAGATTGGCAAAAAATGAGGCCTCAGGAATTGATAAAATACTACTTGATATGGTTCAACAAACAGATGCAATCCTGGACGTGCCAAAAAATTTGGAAGACAGCTATCTGACCAAGAATCTGGAAGAGATCCATATTTGTTTTCATTCCCAAAATAGGTCATCCAGCAGGATGTGGAAATTATTAAACACTATCACTAATGTCATATGCAAGTAAAATTTTGCTGAAGATTATTTTAAAACGTCTGGAACAGCACATTGACAGGGAACTGAATTCAGAAGAGGCTGTGCCATTAAGGATTGTAGATGCTAGGGGAGCTCTGGTGGCCTAGTGGCAAGAAACTGCACTGCAATCCCAGAGGAACACGGTTCAAATCCTCCAGATGCTCTGCCGGAGAAGGAGGCGCAATATCCTCCTGTACCAGTCAGATCTGATTTGACGGTACACGTACACAAAATTTAAAAAAAAAAAAAAAGGATTGTAGATGCATATGGATCTTGATTGAAAGCAGAGAATACTAGTAAGATGTTTACTTCTGTTTTTACTATGCAGAGTTATTGATTGTATGGCTCATAACAAATTATGAATAATATTGAGAAGAATGGGAATCCCACAACATTTATTTTGCTTATAGAAAAGCTGTTCAGGGACCAGAGACCAAGAATCTGTTATCCGAACAGAACAAGGGAACACTGTATGATTTAAAAGCAGGAAAGGTTAATTTTAAAAAAAGGTAAGATGTGCATCAGGTTTTTTCTTTTCTCCATACCTATTCAATCTATGTTGAGCAAATCATCAAAGAAGAATATGGCATCAGGATTGGAGAAGGACTTACCAACAGTCTGTGCTATGCACATGACACAACTTTACTTACAGAAAGTGAAGATGATGTGAAACACAGCCTTTAATAGGGATTTCTTAACATCAGGGAAACAAAAATCCTCACCACTGGACCAATAGGCAATGTCATGATAGACTGAAAAAAGATTGAGCTTGTTTACAATTGATTTAATTTTACTTGGTATGCATTCAACATGCATGGTAACAGCAGACGAGATTGAAAGAAATGTTAAATTGGGAGAGTCTGCTGTCAGGGACCTCTCCAAATTACTAAAGAGTGGTGATGTCAGTTAAGAGAGTAAGGTGTACCTTATCCATGCCAGCTTAAGTTGTCATTATGAAACAAACCGATAAAGAGTTGGGTTTTTTTTAAAGCAAAGACTGAATGTGTTTTTATAATTTGCCTTACTTTTGTGGCTCCTGTCAGCAGTTCATAGTATGTTCTGCTAACAATTCTAGTGCTCTTGTGACCTAGTAGTAAAGAAGTTGCATTATGATCCCAAAGACAGTTTGAATCCACCAGCTGCTTCATAGAAAAGGAGGGGTATTCTCCTGTGTGATTTACAGCTTCTGAAAACCTGCTGGAGGGTCAGCTGTGGGTAAGTTCTGAAATGAGAGCATACGAAAACAGGCAGCAACAGGCAGATAGCTTGCAGAACGACTGATCAATCCATCCCATCTAGGTTCTTTCTCTCTTACTCTGTCCCTCCCAAGCATGATGCCCCTCCCCAGTGACTGGTCCCTCCTTGAAACATGCCCAAATTTTACATTAGCAAAATATTAATAGAAGAAATGTGACAAACTAGCCCAGAACAACAGCTTTAAATGAGCCGTATAGAAAGTCAGTGTTATGAAATCATACCCACAGCCAAAGCCACTACTGTTGTGTCGATTCCTTGTAGCAGTCCTGTAGGTCAATCTTGATACTAGCAGATTGCCTCATCTCTCTCCCATAGAGCGGCTGGTGGGTTTGAACAACAGACCCTTCATTTTGCATCTAAGTTGTTACCACTACACACACACACACACACACAGCCCCCTACATACATAAATACATGAACAGACATAAAAATTATTCAGTCCACACATCAAAGCAGTCAGGTCTGTATACATCTGTTTCTCTCATTTCACACGTAAGTGTTAACTGTTCCATTAGAGCACATACAGGCACTTGCAAACCCACCCCTATATACATAAATACATGACTGGACAGTTCATGTATCATATCAGTCAGGTCTGTATATGTCTGTCTGTCTCTTTCTTAGTATTTTTAGTTCAACTATTCTATAGGCATATCATCGAGTAATTATGTTTTTTAAAAATTTAAAAAAATGTCAAGTTGAGTGTCTTTTCAAGTGTTTTAAGAACTGTATTTCCTGCTCTGTGAACTATTATTGTATCCTTTACATGTTCTTTCCTACTGGATCATTGGCCTTTTTCTTACTGATTTGTAACAGCTTTTTATAGAAATGAGAAATTAGTCTTTTGCCTATGCTAAATGCTAAATATAGGCATATCAGGATACTGAGAACTCTTCAAACAGACACCAAATAGCTAAAAAATCAACAGCAAACAAAACTCCAATGCCACCCAGTGTTCCCACTCATGACAACCCACCATCAGGTTTCTGAAAATGTAAATCTTCTCAGGGGGGAATTATCTGTCTCCCAAGGAGCAGCTGGTGGGTTTGAACTGCCAGTCTTTTGATTAGCAGTGCAGCATGCTCCTTCGAGAGCCCTTTGCCTCTGCTTCTTCAGTCTCACGTGGCTGCTGGGTTTTCTCAAGGTGGGATGGTTTCTGACAGAAAGCCACTGTGCAGGAATGCAGCTTGTTCCTTTGTAAAAGGATAAGATCAGATAAGATTCAGCTGTTGGCTGAATGAGAGCAGACAGAAGTCGGGTGAGATGACTATGTTAGTGAGTCCTGCTGTTTTTATTCCAGTGGGATGAGTCAGGAAGGAGTTAAAGCAAACTCCCCTGGGTGGAAAACCAGCTCCTTTTGATGTGATGTATCAGTGACTGTTTCCAGGGTTGCACA